CTACCGACAGCGAGTGGTGGCGAGCCCAAGACCCTCAGGCTGAAGCACCACCGACGCGATACAGGATCCGGGCAAAGCGTGCGAGCCCGGAGAGCGCGGATGACATGGAGATTTTTCCAGACGACGCGGCGACACCAGCCACTAGCTCGAAAGGGCCTCGTCGCGGCCCGCTTCCACCTCAAGACAGCACGTCCTTCACTCAGGCTGTGCCGTGGCAGAAGCATGCCAGAAGCGGCATGGGTCGCGGAGGAGAGCGCTTACTGGAACACGGAACAAGCTGCCGTGTCAGTAGAGGTGGAAATGCCAGGATCCGAGAAGCAGTGGGACAAGGCCATCCACAACCTGTCAGGCTACTTCGTGGGGGCCCTCAGGCGCCAGGCCGCAGAGATCAGTGAGAAACGGCTTACCGAAGCCGAGCGACTACAGTTTCGCGAGGCCAAGATGACCGAGGTCCGGAACTTTGTCGCGGCTCAGGCTTTCGAGGCATTGCCGCCTCATTTGAAGCCCTCAGCAGATCAAGCAATATCTATGCGGTGGATCTTGACGTGGAAGGTGAAAGAGGACGGCTCTCGAAAAGCCAAGGCACGGGCGGTGCTGCTGGGGTATCAAGACCCGCAGTACGAACATAGAGGCACTACAGCTCCAGTCATGACGAAATTGACGCGTCAGATGTTATTGCAAGCAGCCGCCAACCACAAGTGGAGTGTCTTCAAAGGAGATGTGTCTGGAGCGTTTTTGCAAGGAAGGGATTATCCTGACACACTGTATTGTATCCCAACAGACGAAATTTGCACGGCACTTGGCCTCAAGCCGGGATCAATCACCCGCCTGCGTCGAGCATGCTACGGCTCAGTGGACGCTCCACTGGAATGGTACCGTACAGTGGCGGACTTTTTACAGTCGTTGGGCCTGGAGCGCCTTTGGAGTGATGCCTGCGCCTGGGCGTACCGGAAGGACGGCACGCTGCAAGGCCTCATTTCGGGTCACGTGGACGACTTCTTGTTCACCGGCAACACACAGGATGCTCGTTGGAATTGGATTATAGATCAAATCAAGACCCGTTTTAAATGGGGAGACTGGGACTGCGACCACTTCACCCAGTGTGGGGTGAACATATCCAAGACTGAAGATGGTTTCATACTCTCCCAGGAAAAGCATGTTGAAGGCATTGGCTTCATTCCGATTAGCAGTAGCCGCCGTAGAGAGCCAGACGCCGAAACCACCAACCGCGAGAAAACGCAGTTGCGGGCTCTTCTTGGAGCTCTGAGCTGGCACGGCCAGCAAGTGGCACCGCATGTATCAGCCGAGGTCGGGATTTTATTGTCGGATGTGAATTCCAGTACCGTTAGGACCCTGATTCAGGCGAATGAACTCCTTCAGTATACCCAAAGCCGAAAGGACCACAAGATGCTGATCCATGCTTTTCCCCCCAACCTTCCGCTTGGCATGTTCTGCTGGGTTGATGCGGCCAGTCAGAACAGACGGGATGGAGGGAGCACTCAAGGGGTTCTGGTAGGTCTGGCCCCTCTGGAAATGCTGAAGGGTGCGGTTGGCAAGGTTACCCCCGTCATTTGGCAGTCCCATAAAATCGACAGAGTCTGCAGAAGCCCTGGCACAGCTGAAACACAGGCAGCTGTTAACGGCGAGGATGAACTTTTCCTCGCCAGATTTCAGTGGTCTGAGATCAACTTTGGAGCCATCGACGTCAAGGACCCGAATTCGGCAGTTCTGAAGGTTCCAGGTTGCGTGATAACCGACTCACGTAACGTGTACGACAAACTGCAGACCGAGGTCATGACGTTGAAGGGCGCGGAAAAGCGCGCCAACATAGAACTACTCGGACTCAAAGAAGCCCAACTAAGGTCCCAGGTGCAGATTCGCTGGGTGCACTCAGAGGCACAACTCAGCAATTCTCTTACTAAGGCACGGGGCAATCACGAGCTTGAGTTGTTCTATAAGATGGGCCATCAATGGCGGATCGTGGAAGACGATCGGATGCGTTCCTCACGGCGGAGAAAGCAGGATGGAGTGGCACCCTTGCAGCAGCAGCCACCTAACGACAGTCGAGCTAGTGACTAGCACAACAAGGGGGAACTCTTCCGAAGTCTCACGAGTT